GCGTGCCGACATGGGCGTCGCGGCGCGCGGGCGCTGCCGTCGGGGTTCCCAGGGAAGCCCCCTGCAGAGGCGACGCTCAGAGTCACGAGTACCGAGAGTCACGCAGACCCAAACTGTTCACAGTCGTATACATACATTTACACTGGGCGTATCCATGCACGCATTCATGCGAATAGAATCAATCGCGCGCAGATTCATTCATAATCAGACTCGCTCGCGATCCGACTCGCACGCGCTCAAGCTTTCATATTCGGACCTATCGTCTTCGTTCGTGTTGTGTACACTGCCACGCATTTCGGCACACCCCTCATACGGCTCGTGGCCCCATAGGGAGCGCCACCGAAGAAGATATTCACAATTGCGGTACTCTCAACTGCATATGGTTGGGCCCTTCGCCAGGCTAATTTATCCCTGGGGTTGATTATCCATGGAAAATGAAGCACATGAGCTACCCTACGCGAGCACTTAAAACTTTTAATTTACATAAAGCGCTTGTAAATAAAATCTAATTCATTTGAACTTGAGGTGTTTCCTTCTCTTTCTCCTCCTCCTCTCTTTTCTTTTCTGTTTGATTTTTCCCTTTTCCTTTTTCATTTCTGACTGTTCCCAACCATCCTGTGGTGTTGGGTCCTCGTTTTGAAGAGACGGTGCCCCGCGTCTCCTCCTCTCCTCCTCCTCCCCATCCTCCTCCCTCCTCCCCCTCTTCCCTGCGTTTCACCCACCCAGCACAGCGCTTCGTAGCCCCATGGGAGCTCCGCCGAAGGCCCCGGTGCCCGCGCCCGCATGCGTCACGCACACCCATTTCGGCACACCCCTCACACGTTTCGTGGCCCCATAGGGAGCTCCACCGAAGGCCCCATGTGCTGCCGTCCGCATGCGTCCCGCACACCCATTTCGGCACACCCCTCACACGTTTCGTGGCCCCACAGGGAGCTCCACCGAAGGCCCCAGTGCTGCCGTCCGCATGCGTCCCGCACACCCATTTCGGCACACCCCTCACACGTTTCGTGGCCCCATAGGGAGCTCCACCGAAGGCCCCATGCTGCCGTCCGCATGCGTCCCGCACACCCATTTCGGCACACCCCTCACACGTTTCGTGGCCCCACAGGGAGCTCCACCGAAGGCCCCAGTGCTGCCGTCCGCATGCGTCCCGCACACCCCTTCGGCACACCCCTCACACGTTTCGTGGCCCACATGAGCTCCATCGAAGGCCCCAGTGCCTGCCGTCCCATGCGTCCCGCACACCCATTTCGGCACACCCCTCACACGTTTCGTGGCCCCACAGGAGCTCCACCGAAGGCCCCAGTGCTGCCGTCCCGCACGCGCCCGCACACCCATTCGGCCACACCCTCACACGTTTCGCGGCCCCACAAGGAGCTCCACCGAAGGCCCCAGTGCTGCCGTCCGCATGCGTCCCGCACATTCATTTCGGCACACCCCTCACACGTTTCGTGGCCCCACAGGGAACTCCACCGAAGGCCCCATGGCTGCCGTCCGCATGCGTCCCGCACACACATTTCGGCACACCTCTCACACGTTTCGTGGCCCCACAGTGAGCTCCACCGAACGCCCCAGCGCTGCCGTCCGCATGCGCCCCGCACACCCATTTCGGCACACCACTCACACGTTTCGTGGCCCCATAGGGAACTCCACCGAACGCCCCAGTGCTGCCGTCCGCATGCGTCCCGCACACCCATTTCGGCACACCCCTCACACGTTTCGTGGCCCCACAGGGAGCTCCACCGAAGGCCCCAGTGCTGCCGTCCGCATGCGTCCCGCACACCCATTTCGGCACACCCCTCACACGTTTCGTGGCCCCACAGGGAGCTCCACCGAAGGCCCCATGGCAGCCGTCCGCACGCGTCTGCACGACCATTTCGGCACACCCCTCACACGTTTCGTGACCCCACAGGGAGCTCCACCGAAGGCCCCAGTGCTGCCGTCCGCATGCGTCCCGCACACCCATTTCGGCACACCCCTCACACGTTTCGTGGCCCCATAGGGAGCTCCACCGAAGGCCCCAGTGCTGCCGTCCGCATGCGTCCCGCACACCCATTTCGGCACACCCCTCACACGTTTCGTGGCCCCACAGGGAGCTCCACCGAAGGCCCCATGGGTGCCGTCCGCATGCGTCCCGCACACCCATTTCGGCACACCCCTCACACGTTTCGTGGCCCCACAGGGAGCTCCACCGAAGGCCCCAGTGCTGCCGTCCGCATGCGTCCCGCACACCCATTTCGGCACACCCCTCACACGTTTCGTGGCCCCATAGGGAGCTCCACCGAAGGCCCCAGTGCTGCCGTCCGCATGCGTCCCGCACACCCATTTCGGCACACCCCTCACACGTTTCGTGGCCCCATAGGGAGCTCCACCGAAGGCCCCATGGCTGCCGTCCGCATGCGTCCCGCACACCCATTTCGGCACACCCCTCACACGTTTCGTGGCCCCACAGGGAGCTCCACCGAAGGCCCCAGTGCTGCCGTCCGCATGCGTCCCGCACACCCATCGGGCACACCCCTCACACGTTTCGTGGCCCCATAGGGAGCTCCACCGAAGGCCCCATGGGTGCCGTCCGCATGCGTCCCGCACACCCATTTCGGCACACCCCTCACACGTTTCGTGGCCCCACAGGGGAGCTCCACCGAAGGCCCCAGTGCTGCCGTCCGCATGCGTCCCGCACACCCATTTCGGCACACCCCTCACACGTTTCGTGGCCCCATAGGGAGCTCCACCGAAGGCCCCATGGCTGCCGTCCGCATGCGTCCCGCACACCCATTTCGGCACACCCCTCACACGTTTCGTGGCCCCACAGGGAGCTCCACCGAAGGCCCCAGTGCTGCCGTCCGCATGCGTCCCGCACACCCATTTCGGCACACCCCTCACACGTTTCGTGGCCCCATAGGGAGCTCCACCGAAGGCCCCATGGCTGCCGTCCGCATGCGTCCCGCACACCCATTTCGGCACACCCCTCACACGTTTCGTGGCCCCACAGGGAGCTCCACCGAAGGCCCCAGTGCTGCCGTCCGCATGCGTCCCGCACACCAGGTGTGTGGCGTGCCGACATGGGCGTCGCGGCGCGCGGGCGCTGCCGTCGGGGTTCCCAGGGAAGCCCCCTGCAGAGGCGACGCTCAGAGTCACGAGTACCGAGAGTCACGCAGACCCGAACTGTTCACAGTCGTATACATACATTTACACTGGGCGTATCCATGCACGCATTCATGCGAATAGAATCAATCGCGCGCAGATTCATTCATAATCAGACTCGCTCGCGACCCGACTCGCACGCGCTCAAGCTTTCATATTCGGACCTATCGTCTTCGTTCGTGTTGTGTACACTGCCACGCATTTCGGCACCCCTCATACGGCTCGTGGCCCCATAGGGAGCGCCACCGATGAAGATATTCACAATTGCGGTACTCTCAACTGCATATGGTTGGGTCCTTCGCCAGGCTAATTTCTTTTTTATGTTTGTTTTTGTATATCGTTTTCTCCATTTCTCCGCCTTTTCTTAAGCGAAATAAGCAATAGTTTGACGGTGTCTCAAGCGAAATAAGCAATAGTTTGTGGATGTCTCAAGCGAAACAAGGGATTTGTCGAGGATGTCTCCAGCGAGATAAGCCATTGTTGAGGATATTTCTATGAAGACTAAACGCCAAGGATGTCTCAAAACGTGCTCGGCTTGATCAGCTCTTGATCATCTCTTACGTCGAGATTATGCTGAGGTCTGTTGGGCTACTTTGATTATCTCCCCCTGAACCCCGAACTTTATTATCCCCTAGTGTTTATTCTCACGGGTTAGCGGTTATCTCATGCACTTTCCATGCATCTGAAATCGAGTGGGTTGTACAGTATCGTTTGCAGAAGAGAAGCCCACATGGTGGGCGGGAGCGGGGGGACAGCAGGCGAAAGGGTCTAGCCTGCGGGATCTGCATCCAGGGAGCCCCCGAGGTCCCCGATCTGAGCAGAGGGGCTTAGGAGGAGAAGGAGGAAGAGGAGGAGGAGGAGGAGAAGAGCAGGAGGAAGCGAGGAGGAGGAGGAAGAGGACGAGGAGGAGGAGGAGGAGGAGGAGGAGGACAGCATGAACACGGTAGGAGCAGAAGCAGGAAGGGGATGATGATGATGATGATGATGATGATGATGATGATGATGAGGAGGAGGAGGAGGAGGAGGAGGAGGAGGAGGAGGAGGAGGACGTGGGCAACTCGAGTAGCCAGGGCCAGACGATCGAGGTTCGATGTTCCAAAGCTTTAGGTTTTACTCAAACGCTTCCGCCTCACTCTCCTTCGCTCTCCGCTCTCCTTCACTCTTCTGCATTCATACTCACTCATACTCAGACTCAGTCACACGCAGGCGCACTCGCACTTAGACTCGCTCATATCCATACTTCAACTTACTCACACTCAGACTCACGCTCAGAACCACTCATACTCAGACTCGCTCCTGCTCAGACTCATCATCCTTCGGTCCGCTCAAACGCAGACCGACTCACACTCAGACTGCCTCACATCCATACCCAATCACACTCGGCTCACTCGCACTCAGATTCATTAACACACACTTTTTCTCACACTCAGACCCACTCAAGCCCAGACTCACTCATGCTCAGACTCATCATGCTACGATCCGCTCAATCACAGACTGGCTCACACTCAGATTCGTCCATACTCAGACCCACTCGCACACAGACGCACTCGCGCTCATATTTACTCACACGCATACCCAATCAAACCCAGGCTCAATCGCACCCAGATTAACTCACACTCATAATCAGTCGCTCTCAGATTTGCTATTGGTCGCACGAGCGGTTCGCCCTCGCACACATACGCTCATTGACAGATATCAAGAGAAAGACGTACCAAGAGAATGAGATGCACATATGGGGAGCCCCGCGTCGAGTAATTTGACTATCTTGGAATATTCCTCCTGTAGAGGGACACGCCCGACTTACCCCTAGGCCGCCGCCCGCAGCGGAGCAGGCGCGGAGCCGCCGTCGGAAGGCCTCACCGCACGGCGTCGTTCAGGTGGTCGCCTCTCCCCCCCCGAGGAGGCTCAGGAGGAGGAGGAGGAGGAGGAGGAGGAAGAGGAGGAGGAGGAGGAGGAGGAGGGGAAGAGCGGAGGAGGAGGAGGAGGAGGAAGAGGAGGAGGGGGAAGGCGGAGGGCGGAAGAGGGGAAGGGCGGAGTAGGAGGGCGGAGAAGGAGGAGGGCGGAGACGCAAGCCGCATGAAGTCGAACGTGGAGGAAGGCACCGGGGCATCCCTCCCCGTGTCGCGACGCCTCCAGACAATGGCTGCACCTCCTGTGGCGGCGCGCACGCGGAGGTGGCGCGAGGGCGGGCGGCGCGCGTAGGAGCTTATAAGAAGCTTCTTAGGAGCCTCCGGGGCCTTCTACGAAGACCCCTGCATGTAAGAAGCCCTCCGCCCTATTGCAATCAGGCGGCCCGCAGGACAGCTCGTGCTGGTGCCTGGTGCCGTCCAAACACAGCGGTATGCCTCGAGCGCTGGCTGCCAGGACTTCCGGAGCTTCGCGCGGACTTCTTGGATCGGCGCTGTACCCTCCTCTCTGGCGCCCGAAGCGCGCCAGAGGCGACATGGGCGGCACAATGGGCGGCACAGTGGGCGGCGCCAGGTGCGGCGCCAGAGGCGCGACCGGGCATCGCCGATCCAGGAAATCCGCGCGGACCTCCGAGGAGTTATGCTTGTGCAGCACGGTACCACTTCTTGTTTCTCGATGACGCCGCACGGATCATCCAGCCCAGCAGGGGCGGCGCCGCAGGCGCCGCGGAGGGGGGGGCCCAGCGCCGATCCGAGAAATTCGCGCGGACCTCCGAACGCTTATGTTTATGTCATTGTTTGCTCCCCGATTCCCCGCTGCGGTCGGGCCTCCCGACTGGCCCCCCGCCGCCGGCACCCCCGCTCCTCTGAGCCCCGCCGGGCCTGGCGAGCCTCGCCACCGCCGCGCCGCCGCCGCCACCGTCGTCCGACGTCAGCCCTCGCTCGAGACGCGGCGCGTCGTCGCCGCGCCCGACCCGGATGCGCTCAACACGGATCCCTGGGCCCCTCCAGGGGCCCATCCTGGCCCGTCCTCTCTCCCTCCTCGTCGCCCCCCGCAAGTGCTGACAAAAGAGATGCAGCCAGCCGCGCCGCACCGGTTCCACCCCCCAGCTGATGGGAACGTTTTCCACCACCACCACCACCACAAGTTGGAGGGGGAGGGGGTCTCCTCCTCCTCTTCCTCCTCCTCCTCCTCCTCCTCCTCCTCCTCCTCCACCTCCTCCTCGTCCTCCACCTCCTTCCCCCCTCCAACTTATAGTGGTGGTGGTGGAAAACAAGCCCATCACCAGCGACAGCTGGGCGAGTGGGGGCTGGGGCATTCCTCGGGGATCTACGGACCCCGGGTCAGATCCAGACCCAGATCAGCCAGGCTTCTGCAGGATCCTGCAGGATCCTGCACGCAGCCAGACCTGGGTCAGGGCACCCCTGGCCCCGCAGGATCCTGCAAGATCAGGCGCCATGGCTGACCCTGTTTGCATGGACCCCCGTCCCTTGAACCTCGAATCTACTTCCCCCCCTGAGCGTGGGGGCCGGTGCATCCCCCCCTGAGCCTGCCCCCCTCCCCACCCCGACGATGCCCCTGGAGCCTTCCCCTCCCCCTTCTAACGCTGCCCTAAATGTGGAGGGTGGGAAAAACTGTATGAGCAGGAACTGGGACGCACAAAGAGATGCCAGTACTATGCGTCCTCCTCGACGGCGCGCGTCCGACCCGAACATCTAGCACAACCATCTTGTAGTGGATCGTCTCCCGAGCCGTGCGGCCAGAAAGCGCCCGCCACGGGGCTTGTACTGTAAGATTTCTCGGCGCACGCGTCGCCCCTGGGAGGGCGACGCACGCATGGTGCTAGCATGTCTGGGTGATGCCGACAAACTGTCGGAAGTCCGCTCGGACTTCTTGTATCGGCGCTGGGACCCTCATCCCTGGCGCGCGGAGCGCGCCAGCGGCGCCGCCAGGGAGGGGGGCCCAGCGCCGACCCAAGAGTTCCTGCCGTTCTTCGACTACCGTTAAGTCGGGCATGGCCTCCTACAGGCGGAGTTTGGACGAGAAAACAAAATACTCAGAAAGCATCAAAAATGGTCGAGGAAGAATTGGAAGATCCTCCCCACACACTATTTTCGCTCGTTCTGGGAATACTCCTCCTGTCGGAGGCCATGCCCGACCCAGGACTACCCGTTGCCCCTGACCAGTCCCCCTCGCTCAGCGCCTGGCAGCGGCCCGGTGCAGCAGCCCCAGAAGGTGGCCCGCGGCACCGCGGCGCTCTGGACCTCGGCCCCGCGCGGCCCTCCCTGCGCGCTCCCCGCCCCGACCCGCCGTGCGTCGCCGCCGCCGCCGACGACGACGAACGACCGCCGCCGTCGATGGACAACCACGGCGGGCAAGGGCGGCGGCGGAGGGCGAGGCGGAGACGACTGACGAAGATGGGCGACGGAGACGGAAAGGGGACGACGACGAAGACGACGACGACGAGCGACGAGCGACGAGCGACGAGGGTCGAACGACGAGGGTCGAGGGCGAACGACGACGATCACGAACCACAAAGGAGGACGGCGATGATCGACCAGGACAAAGACGACGGCGGCGTCGTCGTCGTCGTCGCCCGTCACCGTCGCCGGTTGTCGTCGGCTGGCGCCCGTCGTCGTCGCAGCCTTATGTCGGGCATATCCCCCTACAGACTGATTTGGGGCGAGAAATAAAAAGTGGTCAACAAAAATACCCACTGAAGAATCAAAAATACTCAAAAGATTCTCCCCTGACTATTTTTATATGTTCGAAGATTCCTCCTGTAGAGGGACACGCCCGACTTTCGTATAGCAAAGGGCAGGATAGAGAATCGGCGCAGGCGCCTGGCACTGGCTCTCTGGGCGCCTCCTGGCGCCGGGAGGCGCCCATGAATCGAGGAATGGGGCCAGCGGCGGGCCGGAGACCAGCCGCGCGCAGCAGATGTCGCACCCCCCCCCCTCTCCCTGTGCTACTCTTTTCGTCCGGCCCGAGAGACGGCAGGTCCTCCGGGGTGGCGAAAGCGTTGGTGCAGTGTGCAGTCAGAGTTGCTGCTTATGCTGCTGCCCCCGTGTTGCTAGACTCTCCTTCGGACTGCTGGCACGCACATAATGACATTTCCTCTGCTTCTATGTGCAAGGCGCCCGCTGGGCCTAACTGCGGCGTCCTGGCCGGGGTCCTCTTTCGTGCATCCCCCGCTGCTAGGCCACCCCCATCGAGTCGCACGCGCGCATCACTCCTTTTTTCCCATTGGTTTCGTCCGAGCCGAAGGATAATGATCTGTGCCATGCCAGTGGCGTCGCCTGTGCCTCCTACACACAAGTAATAGGTCGCCCAGTCGCAGCTGACACGCGCACCTCCGTTCTCCCCCTCCGCCCAGAAAGTCGGCCCCCCGTCTTGCACCTTCTGGACTGCCAGTGAAGTAATGAATGGCCGTGCACGCATCCAGTTCGCCCCCGTCGAGCTCCCCCGTCCGCCCTAGCTTCGAACAGCTCGCACATCCCATTGCTGAGAACATGTTCCTCCATAGCTTGTACGTGTAAGGTGTAGTGGATGTTGTTGTGTCCTCCTCGTCCTCCCTCTTTTCGTCACCATCTCCTCCATTGTCTGCTGAGCCGCGCTGGCTGTTTCAAGTGCACACATGAGGGTGCAGCGCCACCCACGTTAGCTCCACGGGCGTAAACCCTATTGACCAAGCTCGTCGCTTGGCGGCTCTCTTTCAGCATTTCGGCATCCATCTGTTGTCCTCCTGTATCTGCCATCTCGTGTCTGAATCCTCGGACAGCACCACTGTTTGTTCTGCTGCAAGCCCCCCAACGGCGTCCTCAATCAATGCCTCCGCTTCCACTGAAGGTCTGCGCAACAAAATAATATACCTCCTCTGTCGTCCTGTACCGTTTCTCTAACACCGAGCCCGCAGCCTGCACAGTGCGCTGCGGTCGTTTCCACCGATGGGCGCCCAAGATCTTTTCTACGAGGTTAGCTATTATGATTTACCTGGCCCGCCTGAGTCTCTTCAGGACTCCTGTCGCATCGTGCAGCAACGCTTGGGCATCTTCGAACTCTTGCTCCGACTGTCCCTTCTCTCGCAGCCCTCTTCTCCGCAAATACGCGAGCCTGTGTCCCGCCTCATGTGGGACTCGCTCCCCGTGTCGGAAGCAGCCGTCCAGTGCTGCACATGCTGCGTCACTTCACAGCCACCACGCTGAGTCTGGGGTACTCTCGTCAAGGGCAGCCGTCCGTCTAGCACCTCCTTTCCCCTCCGCAATTCCATCAAGAACATTTGAAACTGCTTCTGGCGGTAACTGGCAGCACCAGACCCACGATGATGTGATCTCCGTGCCCCGTTGCTTTGATAAACTGACAGCGTTTTGCTGCTGTCCTACGCGGCACACTCCCGTTCATGAACGACAGAGCTGCTGCTGGGATGGCAATACGGTCTAAACTGCTGAATGGTCCGTGTGCCTCGTGATAGGTCGAACCCGTGTCGAGAAAGGCTGGGGCGATGGATAACCCACTTGCAAGAAATTCTGGGCACTGCTCCATGCTCGTTCTCTACTCGTCTGTCCACCTTCCCAATCGTGTCGCTTGCACGTCCCTCGATGATTCGAGGTGTGCTTAGGTGCAGCCCGAACTTTCTGTTAACATCTCCCCTGATAACTCGTATTGTTCTCCTCGCCTGTCGGTGGCACGCGAGTTCCACCAAGTCTGTGATTGTCTTACCTATCGTGGTAGTTTCCAACACGTTTCGGGGCGTAGTAGACTGCCGTCAAGTTCTACTGTTCTTGGTTTGATCGGAATGCCTGCTGCCCTACCTTGGGTAATGGTCGGCGGTAGGGAGGTGGAGCGAAGCGCTTCTTTGGGGACCTCATTGGAAACTAAGATCGATGTCCCGCATGCTTTTATCACAACTCTCCCCTTCCTTCCTCCGAAACTGAACGCCCCGTGGTGTCTGACTAGGGTAGTAACACAACCTTCGTCCCCTGCCCATTCCTGTGTCCAGCTGACAAGTATGATGCCGCACTCCTTCAACTCGTGGCTAATGTCCTCCAGTCGTTCGTTGGACGCCACCAGTGGGTTGTATACTATATCTTCATCACAGTCACAAGATCGGGAGAGCAAAATGCAGGCAACCTCATCAACAATACGATAGACATGCCTCCGCCCCCCCCCCTGCCCCCCCCTTGGCTGAGGATGAGAGTCAGGGCCGAAGCTGCGGTGGGCGAAACCATGTGCCCTCCCAGGGCGTTGGTACGGCTTCGAACCTTACCGCGGCAACCTAGGGGGAGAGGGGGAAGGAGAAGGAGGAAAAGGGGGATGGGGTAACCGAGGTACGCAGAGAGCCTCCATGGGCCGAGCAGGGGGAGGGGAGGGGGAAGGGGGAGCAGGGGGAGGAGGGAGAAGGAGCGAAAGAGTGCGAGACGAAGGATGAGGACGAGGAAGAAGGAGGAGGAGGATGATGAGGACAACGAGAAGGAGAAGGAGGAGGATGAGGATGAAGAGAAGCTCGAGGACGAAGGGGCAGGGAGAGGACGACGACGACGGCGACCACCACCACCGAGCCTGAGACTTCACCGCTTGCACGCTCGGACGAAGATTTCGGGGCGGATCCGGCCTTCGCGACGAAGGCGCCCCTGGAGGCCCCAAGAAGGCACAAGCACACACACAGGCGGCGAACTCCGCTCCAGCGACAGGCTACTAAAGGGGCACACACACAAACGCACACACACACACATACTTTTACGTCGTAGCGCGGCAGAGGCAGTCCGCACGCGCGCTCGGGCAAGCCGGGGGACGGCATGGCGAATTGACCGGCAGCACGAGAGGGAGAAAGGGGGAGGAAGCGGCCGCGGGCGGGGAGCAAAGATATAGAGGAGTCACACACGTGTACATACATACTTACATACTTACATACATACATACATACATACGTACATACATACATACATACATACAGACAGACAGACAGACACAGACAGACAAAGAGATAGGCAGACATACGTACATACACACGTGCATATATACATGCATGCGTACATGCATGCATGCATGCATACATACATACATGCATGCATGCATACATATATACATACATACATACATCTATACATACACATATACAGACATGCACACACGCACGCACGCACATACGCACACGCACACACAGGCACACACACACACTCACACAAACGCACAACCGAAAAACAGCAACAAACAACTACAATCCTTCGACGGCAGCGACGACGCCGACCGTGCAGCCACGAAAAGTCGCGGCGGAGGCAGGGGTGAGGCGGCCTCCTTGCGGGCCAGCGGCTCCAGGATCTGGACGGTGCCAACCCTGGGCGACGGCCCAGCCCTCGTCGTTCCCCCGCACCCTGCTGATCTAAGCATGGCGCTCCTGCAACTGCATTACCTGCTCCCCCTCCTCCTCCTCCTCCTCCTCGTCCTCCTCCTCCTCTTCATCCTCCTCTTCTCCTTGGTGTTACCATTATGCTTGTTCTTAGTCTGATGATAACAGTTAATGTCAGTAAATGCCTCGTTATAGATATTAGTATTATGGCTAATACGAACCATAATGTTGGTAGCAGTGGTGTTGATACTCCTATGTTTAATACTAAACTTAACGTTAGCGTTCGCACCATCTTCGTAATCGGATTAGTGGATTCAGTCTGAGTAGCATTTGTAATATGTGTAGCAGTAAGAAGATGAATCATTGTAGTTGTAGTAGTCGTAGTAATAGTAATAGTAGTAGTTGGTGTTGGCGTTGCTGTTGTTGTCGTAATAATTGTTGTAGTCGTATTAGAAATAGTAGTAGCAGTAGTAGTAGTAGTCGTAGTAGTAGTAGTAGTACTAATACTAGTAGTGTCATGAGGAGTAGTAGTCATAGTAGTAGAAGTAGTAGTAGTAGTAGTAGTAGTAATAGTAGTTGTAGTAGTAGTAGTAGTAGTAGTAGCTGTGGTTGTTGTAATCATCGTATGGTGATGACTAGTAGTAGTAGTAGTAGTAGTAGTAGTAGTAGTAGTAGTAGTAGTAGTAGTAGTAGTAGTAGTAGTAGTAGTAGTAGTAGTAGTAATAGTAGTAGTAGTAGTAGTAGTAGTAGTAGTAGTAGTGGTGGTAGTGGTGGTAGTAGTAGTAGTGGTAGTGGTAGTAATAGTAATAGTATGATATGTAGTATCATTAGTACTACTTGTCCTCCTCCTCCTCCGCCTCCTCCTTCTCCTCCCTTCTGCTGCTGCTGCTGTTCCTCTTCCTCATCCTGCGCTTCCGCCTTATCCTGATCCTCCTCCTCCTTTTCCACCTCCTCCTCCGTCTCCTCTTCCTCACATTATCGTCCTTCTCCTCCTCCATCCGTTTTCCTTGTGTAAAACTCATCCCTGTCACACACCCAGACGTGTCGGTAGGGCGGACCGGGCGTTTGGCCTTAAGCGTCCTCACCACTTACGATCCTGAAGCTTACGGAATGCGACAGCTTCGCAGATGGAGGGCGGGCCGTTTTCATAATGTGGCTCTCGCCCAAGCGCCACGCATATTTGCCTCAAAAGCTTACACCGTCAAGGATGGAGGCTGGGCGTTTGCGAAGTGTGGCTCTCGCGTTAGCGCCACGCATATTCGTCCTCAAAGTCTGCAACAGTTTTAAGGATGGAGGGCGGTTCCTTTTGAAAGTCTGGCTCTCACCTCCGCGCCGTGCACATTCATCTCGAAATTGTGCAGCAGCTTCAAGGATTTGCTTGGTTGAAGTCCCAGGAACGGTGCCCTGGCACGGTCCAGGATTGCCAGGACGCAAGAGTCGGGTTGCTCCACGGCTCTGAGTCTTAGGAGTGGTGTTCTGATGCGGCCTGGACTTTCACTGGTCCTCCTCCTCCTCCTCCTCCTCCTCCTCCTCCTCCTCCTCCCTCTCATCCTCCTCCCTTTCCGCCTCCACTTTCTCACTCCTTTCCTTCCTCCTCGTCCTCCCGACGTTCCTCACTCCCTTTGCTCCCGCTCCTCTGCGGCGGTGCCGGGCGAGGCGCGCGAGACGAGAGGTACACGCCCCGGGGGGGGCGCCAGGCCCATGCCCCACACAGAGGGGGCCAGCCGAGTTTGGGAAACTCCGACCTGTGGGATCGGCGGCACATCGCCGATAGTCGGGTGCGCGCAAGCATGGAGTAGCGATCCATGGATTCCGCGCGGGGTCGCCAAAAATCCATGGGTCGGGCGAGGTGCCCTCCCCAGAATGCGGCCGGTGCCACCACGCTCGGCAGCGGATATCCGCGAGTTCCCATAGAAACGGGACCCGTCGCTAATCCACGCCCCCTTAATCCATGTTTGCGATCGCCTGAGATAGATCGGAGAGGGGCCCCCGACAGCGAAACCGCAGGTTCCCTGGCGGGGTGGGCTATCGGACCGACATCGGCGACGAGTGGGCGTTTGGTGTTCAGCGCTTTCCCCCCTGACCCTGTCTCCCCCAGCGATCCTCGACAGTGGGTTGTCGGGTCATGCCTCTGGTCCCCAAAGGCTTTTTCGGGACGACCGGGGCACCGTGGGACGCCGCGCTGAGGAGCACCCCGAGGCAGGGGAACCTAAAAGGACCGACGAGCACGTCCAAAAGCCCCAGGCAAACCCGACGAGGGCATCCGAAAGCCCCTGGGCCTCCTGCTCCCCTGCCGCGTCGCCCCGGCCACATACCGGGAAATCGATTTCGGTTTCGTGTTCGTGCGTGTCGTGCGTGCGGGCGAGGCGAAGCTGTGTGGGCGAGCGAGAAAGAAGTCTCCTGTAGCTGACGCGCGGCCGGACCAAATGATTCCTGACCAGCGTCCGGTGGCCCGCGGTGCCCCGCCAGTGTCCCGCCTCCAGCTGAG